GCAATGGTTCTTAAAATCTAGAACCTGAAGTTACAGTTCTAGGGAAATCCTTTTTTTTGAACTTTTCTTCTACTGAAATGAATATAAAAATGACCTGTAGGTTTAAAGGAGAAAAGCAAGATCAATTTTTATTTTGTTTTTTTATCAGCTTCATATTCTTGTCTGATCATGTCATCAATTTGATAATTCAAGAATATTTCCTGAACTGACATTTTTATTTCATCACAGCACATCTCTTTGGAGTAAAGTTTATAGGCAACGCATGAAACTGGTACAAGATAGCATTGAGAGTGGTTTTCATCCTTACAGCACCTGGCATCCCTGATTGCCTCATAGATGTATAGAATGGGTCTCATTTGGCCCTCGTTAGCCACACCACAATACCTCTCTAGTTAGTGCTGATTTCATGCCAAGATGAGGTGTGGTATTCCACACCATTCCACTCCATGTTTCAAATTGTGCATGTTCCGTACAGAACATGTAGAAATGTGAATAGAAATCCTATCACCTAGAAATGCCTATATATATATATGGCATAGAACTTTATTGGTGTATATAAAAAATCTAGTGTACAAACTTGATTAAAGTTATTTTAAGCAGATATTATGAACGTTTCCCTATTAAACAGTATTTTAACAGTATTTTCAAGAATGTGTATACTTTTCTATAATTTTGTGATATATTTAGTCAGTTTCATCTTTCAGGATATTTAAATTATTTCCATTTTACTATTGAAACCTACACTGTGGTAAATATTGTAGCTTAAATTTTATTTGTATATATTTTCAATTGAGAATATTTCTTGCTATATTTCTATGTATATGGATGTGTCATGGCTATAAAATTATGGAAAGTTAGAAGTTGAAGAGATCAAAGTTTCTTATTTCATAGTTGAGAAATTGAAGTAATGGGGATGTATAATGTCTGCCACCTGTTAGTAGTAGAGCAAGCTACAGTTAAGAGATTGGGGAAAATGTCTTAGTGCAGGGCCTGACACATACTAATAGCTAATACTTACTGAACACTTACTGAATGCCAGGCCCTGTGTGAGCACTTTATACTTGTATTATTCACTCTTTATCACAACTGTGTAGGTTAGTACTATTGTTAACTCTGTTGTATTGTTGAGGACACTGAAGTTCTGAAATGTTATTTGCCCAGAGTTATATAGCTCATAGCAGAGCCAGGATACAAACCCAAGTGGTCTGACTGCAGAGTCGGTGCGATCACTGCCCGGCAGCCACGATAAGTGCTGGCTCAGTGTCTGAGTGTTCATAAGTGCTGGGTTGTTCTATGCACAACTCTATAATCCAGAGGGGGGTTTGGTTCCAATACTCTGGATTTTAGAAAGATAATTTAGTTCATATGCTCTGTGTTTTTGTTGTTGTTGTTTTAATATTTATTTATTGTTTTCAGAGAGGAAGGGAGAAGGAGAGAGAGAAACATGAATGATGAGAGAGAATCATTGATCGGCTGCCTCCTGCACGCCCCCCACTGGGGATCAAGCCTGCAACCCAGGCATGTGCCCCTGGCCGGAATTGAACTCGGGGCCCTTCAGTCTGCAGGCTGTCGCTCTATCCACTGAGCCAAGCCGGCCAGGGCAGTATATGCTGTTTTATATAATACTCCTGTGAGGCTTGGGCAGCACCTCGTAAGGAAATGCATCAGTGTTTCTGAAGCATGTTTATCTATTCAGTAAGTGAGATAAAAGTCAGAAAACAAGTACTATAGTAGCCCAGTGGCAGTGCATGCTGCCAAATGGGTTGTGGAAACCTTTTGACGTTTAGTATAGCAGGTAAGGGATGGCGGACCGACGTAAAGCTCTTAGCGGGTACCTGGCACCTAAAACACATCCGTGTGTTGGCGAAGACGACGACTCCTAGCAGTAGTTATCAGCTGATAGGTACATACCCATGGGCATCGGGAATTGGTGAGTCATGTGGTGCTGGGCGTACTTTCCTCACAACCTGATGTCAGGATTCCCTAAGTCACAGTAAGTGATAGGCACCTGGGTCTCTTCCCTGGCGAAGCATAGGCTGGTCTAGCCCAGGGCTCCGTCCTTCTGACCATTTGCACTCCCTGCTGAGCCACATTGCCTCTCCAGAATAGCCAAACTTGTGTTTCAGCCTCTCAGAGACCTTGGTGAAACTGTGTTTCTCAAGTTTTCCTTGCTCTTTATTCCAACCCCCTTTCTTTATTTTTTTTCATTTTTATTGAGAAATAATTGACATGTAACATTGTGCAATATTAAGGTGTACAAAATGATGATTTGGTACTCATATATACTGTGAAATGGTAACTGTAACAAAGTTAACACTTCCATCCCCTACATAATTACCTTTTGTGTGTGTGTGTGTGTGTGTGTGTGTGTGTGTGTGTGTGGTGAGAGCATTTAAGATTCTCTCCCTTAGCAACTTTTAAGTATATAATAACAACTAGAGGCCTGGTGCACGGATTTGTGCACTGGTAGGGTCTCTCAGCCTGGCCTGCGCCCCCGCGC